CCCAGCAAAAAAGTGGTAGTTTCGCCACTGATTACCCCTTCACAAATTTTGAATCGGGGCCCCTGATATCACGTTACGTTACTGTTGGAAGCCTGGCATTCTATAACGTTTGACTCACTAACATTGTGTATCTATACGCTACTATCCCTAAAGGTCTGATTCCACGGGCGCTTTTTCTCGGAGAAATGCGAAATCTTTCGCCTGTTTCTTTTGAATTGCGACCACTCGAATAAATTATTTCTACTTGATTGCCCACAATTCAAAAGAAACAGGCGAAATATTTCGCATTTCGCCGAGAAAAAGCGCCCGTGGAATCAGGCCTTTACTGAGAGAAAAATTCGAAAAACCCATTACATTTCCTTGCATCCGAACGAAACTCAGCATTTCGCGGCTCAGCTCTCTTGATGAGCAATTGCTCCTAGCGCAAACGCTGTGAAAATATGTTTAAATAAAAAATAAAGGAACTCACCATTTATACAGGTTCAACTCAAAATAACGCAAATAAAAAAACTACGCAAATAAAATGTGTGAATCTTGAAGGTTTTTAAATTTCCATTTTCTCACGCGTGATGAAACTGTCCATGCACTATTATTCTAGTAAGCGGTGTCAAGTTACCATGAAAAAACCCCGTTACTTTATAAGTTACCATGAAAAAGAATCATTCTCAGAAATGTAATGGGTTTTTGAAAATGAGAGTGGTGTAGTTCCACGCTGTTAGTGAGTCAAATGTTCTGCTATATAACGTCATATTCAAGTTTTTAATTCTTATAAAATAATCTGTTATGTTTGTTATATTTGTACTTTATACATTCCAACCGGCGAATAGTTCCCGGAGAAATTACCCGCTCCTAATAGAGCAGAGACGAATCAAAGGCCGTCGAGGCCAACTCACGGATGAGATCAAATGAAAGTGAGAGAAAGAATTAGAGCAGTTTGCAGTTGTTTTTGCAAACGGGCACCGTGCGAATTTTGACATTTGTCAAACGTGTGCTCAAGCCCAATTCCCGGTTCTGAAAGGCCCGATTCGCAGGCAAACAGTGCGCGCAAAGCAGGCTGGTCATTTCTCATTGTTTAACTGCCCCACACTCAAGTAACCAGATAGACTTGCCCCAAGTCTCGCTCGAATGGGTATGATTGGGTCTATCCAGTTTATTACGAGATCAGTTTTGAACTTGAAACGTTTCTCAATTCTCCATTATACTTCAAAATAAGGTTTCCGTTTTTACATCAATTTTTAAAATAAGTTAGGGTTAGGTTAGGGTTTAGGTTAGGGTTAGGTTAGGGTTAGGGTGAGGGTTAGTAATAGGGTTAGGGTTTAGTTTTGCGTTAGGATAGTTTTTTCTACGTTATAAAAACGGAAACCTTATTTTGAAGTATACTATCTAGCGATCACCATTCTCATAATAAACTGGATAGAAGTTCAAACTTGGGCACAGTAAACTTGGGCAAGTCACGGTTAACCGTGGCAAGTCTAGTAACCACAAAGATCCTTCAAAGAGGTTCTTCACAACATCCGTGAGTCAGCGTGAGTCAAAAAGAAAGCTGCACAACTACTAGGCTCGATTACAAGCCATGGCGTCAATCCCGGGGAGCTTCCCCTAATGCCAGCTAGTAATCCAGCCAACACAACTAGTCAACTACCTGAAAAATATAAACAGAAGGCCCTTGGTCAGAACGTTCGTTATTCAGTATAAACGTCATGCAGGTAGTTGTATATCTTTCACACCGCAGCTTTCCATTTAAACGAAACATATATTACTGTATATAACTTGTAACTTGCTAATCAGGTTTTAATGTGAGCGATGTTAAGACTATTGTAGTTTGTAATGTAATTATTAAAAGCAAACACGCAACATCTAAAACAGCTTAGAATTGTTTGAACTGAAGTCCCATAGCAACGAATGAAACAAACCGATAAATAACGCAATATAAAATAGTGAATGACTTGCGATATTAAACAAAGAATTATCACAGAGGATTAAAACAAAAAAGATTGTACTGCAAGTCGTCTATATAGGCTAAGCAAAAAGGGATATTTTACAACTTTTAGGATATAATATCCGACTTGTGGGAATAAATCCCGCTTTTACTGGGAAAGGAACATTAAAGCATTAAAACATCAGAGACATACCTGCAGAAAATGAAACAAAATTCAGCAAGATGAAAAGTACAATGACTGTAAGTTGTGAAACATTATAGAACTTCATTGTAAAATACGTTGTGGCTTGTACTCGCTTTATACTGCAAAGATAAACACTGAGTGTGAGGTTTGTTCGTGTTTGAAAAAGACTTGAGGGATCATATATCATACGCCAACGTTTTTTGGTATCAAATTTCATGAGTTCGCTGGAATCGAAATATAATCTTCAATGTAAACACGCTAGCCTGCATGCCGCTTATTTTTTGACGTTTTGAAGATTTTTGAATAAATGGTCCTCACTCATGTAAACATTGGCTTCACCCATTTTGTCTTTAGAAAACAAAAATCTCAGGGTCGTTTTCAATATCTCTAATAAGTCTGAAAAAGGAAAACATCAAACAATGCCTCAGAGTGTTTTATAGAAAATTTGAATTGTATTTCTGTGAATAATGTCGGTTGATAACATCAATGATTGATAACCATAAGCGTACGGGAGGGGCGGTTGGTGTCAAGAAGGCCGTATATATATTAGATCCGAAAACATTTCCGGGAAAATGTTATGGAAAAGAAAAATTACTTTTCGTATTAAAAAATTGTTCTGCCGTCACTGAGTGGAATGAAATCAGCTTTCTGAAATCAGCCATCCATTGAAATGCATGAAATCAGTTCTTGTGCCGCCGTATTATAAATTACGTAATTTGTACCGAGGAATGGGTTCGCCGTTCATTCGTACAAATTATGTAATTTATAATATGGTGGCACAAGAACCTCTGGAACCAGGTGGGTACCTGCAGCGAGATTCGAACCCACCATCACAGAATTGAAAGGCGCATGCTCTGACGATTTTTGACACCAAGTCGACATTGGCGCCCCCAGCTCGATAATTGGTGGGGGGGGGGGATATTCATATATTTGTGTTCACAGACCATAAAGACAATCGATTTCAAAAGAAGTTAATAATGCAGAACACGAAGATATGAATATTCGCCCCCCCCCCCCACATTATCGAGCTGGCAGCGCCACTGCAAATCGTTCGCACAACATGGTGTCTTCGTTGCCCCCACCAGGGCGATGTTGTATACTAATCACACAAACAGTATTGTTAAAAAGTATATTTATAAGTTCTTTGTAAGTTTGCATGGCGATAAAACATATAATACTATTACTTTATTTGTTTGTGGAAACACCACGTCCACGTAAATTTATTACTGCGAAGCTTCTGATCCGTAAGCAGGGCCGCCAAGAGGGGGGGGGGGGGATGCCCAATTGCCCCCGGCCCCG